GGTAATCCTCCCACAGTGTATACATAGATGAAAACATCTTGTTGTACACCTTGAATATATACATTTTTTTTTTGTCATTCTGTGACTCCTACACCTTCTTACTCCCTTTGTGACCTTGGGTGGACTCAGCATGGCGACCAAAGACTTTCATGATCTGAAGCGGGTGTGCCCTCTTCATTCCTCATACTTGACATTCCACCCCAAACAGGGTGTGCGCATTCTCTGAACGGCCTTGCATTTGGGCATGATGTGTTTGCTCGGGCTATTTTCTCTCTCTCTGAATGCCCACTGCTGCCCCTTTCCTGCATGCTCCCCTCAAGGTTCTTTCTACAAAGTGCAGTTGAAATGCTACTTTTCTGAGGAATCCTTCCCCTGACCTGGTCCCAGACTTACTGACTTAGAATCTCAGAGGTCTGGAAATTTGTATCTCTCATGGCATCTCGTATAGTGCCTTGCCCATAATAGGTACTTTATATATGTTGGAATTGAAATAGATAATGTATATTAACTCTGCGAGGGGCTAATTGATACCTAGAATGAACATAGGCTAAAATGAGAAGCTAGCATGAGCTAGGTATCAGAACCGAACAAAACACACACCGCAAATAATAAAAACCCAAACCATAGACTAACGTTGGTTAGGAATGAAGATGTGAAAAATCTCAAATAAAATATTAGAACATCCAATTTAACAGCATTAAAGAATGATCATGACTGGGTAGTGTGTTTATCCTGGGAATTAAATTAACACATTATATTGATTGAACAAAAGAGAGAAACCCTGTAGCGCCATACATGCTCAATATCGAAACCTGGTGCCCGCAGTCTCACAATGAACTAGGAAGAGACCAGTACTTCTTAAAGAAGAAGAAGAGGCCGGGCGCGGTGGCTCAAGCCTGTAATCCCAGCACTTTGGGAGGCCGAGACGGGCGGATCACAAGGTCAGGAGATCGAGACCATCCTGGCTAACACGGTGAAACCCCGTCTCTACTAAAAAATACAAAAACTAGCCGGGCGAGGTGGCGGACGCCTGTAGTCCCAGCTACTCGGGAGGCTGAGGCAGGAGAATGGCGTGAACCCGGGAGGCGGAGCTTGCAGTGAGCTGAGATCCGGCCACTGCACTCCAGTCTGGGCGACACAGGGAGACTCTGTCTCAACAACAACAAAAAAAAAAAAAAAAAAAAAAAAGAAGAAGAGTATCTTTCTCAAAGCAATAGCTGACAGTAAACTTCATGGTGAAATAGTAAGGGATTCTTATCACAACCAGCAACAGATTAAAAATGTGCACCATCATGAACAAAACAGTTGTTAAAATGAGACCAGCAAATGCTCCCTGGGGAGTGAAGCTGGCATTCTCCTTCCTGCCTGTAGAGTTATGAATCCATACAACCTTTTGGGAAATCAGTTAGGTGGTCTGTTTGATAAACCATACAAAATCCATACCCTCTGACTCAGACATTTACTTCTCAGAAATTCTCCTAAGGAAATCGGAAATGTTGACAGAAATATGAATAGGTACTCATTACATTTAGAAGAATTAGCGATGACAACAGTCTACTCATCATAACATTTGGAAGAATCGGAAATGACAACAATCTAAATGCCCCACAATGGGGAAATAGTTAAGACTATTATGGGGTATCTGTACAGTGGAATGTAATGAGTCATTAGAAATGTTTAAGAGTTTTAATACCATGAGAATGTTCTTGTGTTGAGTTAGAATGATACAAATTGTATTTAAACGGTCCCTCAACTGTTTATAAAATCTCCTCTGTTTCTTGGTGAGTTAGAAATCGCCTTTTTTTTTTTTTTGAGATAGAGTCTTGCTCTGTCACCCAGACTGGACTGGAGTGCAATGGCACAATCTTGGCTCACTGCAACCTCCACCTCCCGGGCTCAGGTAATCCTCCTGCCTCAGCCTCCTGAGTAACTGGGATTGTAGGTGTGTGCCACTATGCCTGGCTAATTTTTGTATTTTTTGTAGAGTTTCATCATGTTGCCCAGGCTAGTCTTGAACTATTAGACTCAAGCGATCCACCTGCCTTGGCCTCCCAAAATGGTGGGATTACAGGCGTGAGCCACTGCGCCTCGCCACTTTTCTATTTTTCTAGTTAGCTTTCTAAATGTTTGAAATGGCTTCCAATGAAGTTCATTTTATTATTAGGGGAAACTTCCATACTTATTTTCTTTCTTCCCAAATCTCCACAAGTATACTCTCCTCCCAAAATTTAGATAGTTGTATTTTTCGGATTATTCCAAATAAGAGTGCTGAGAGGCTAATCACAAAGAGCAGCAGCCAGAGATTTACAAAGTGTTCTCTTACTATTGAACATTTTCATTTATTCTTTTTGATAGGACACACATCCATATGGCTCAGAAATCAAAATGTCCAAGAGTTTGTCAAGTGAGTAGTGGCTCTCTTATTCCTGCCCCCGCCATCTGCCCAGTCCTCTTGAAGTACGTAACCAATGATAATAGTTTCTACTGTGCACTTGCAGAGATTTTCCAGGAAATCTCAAGCACCTTGCCTTCCAAGTCACTATATACCAGCTACTCATCTTGTGCCCAGTTCACTTTGGTCACCCTGTCCCCACCACCCCTGTGCTTATATCAACCGCTACTTCTCTCTCTCTGAGCTCAAACACCCCAGAGAGAACCCTGGGCCTGCCCAGCCTTTTATGGGTAGATGAGGTGGGAGTGTGGGTATGTGCTCCTCTGCCCACTTCAGAGAGTCATCCAGCTTCTGGAAAAATGACAGCAGCCAACTTGACAGAAGAACCCAGCATACACATTCAAGTTCATTGGATAAAAAAAAAAAAAAAAAAAAAAAAGGCCAGGCATGGTGGCTCATGCCTGTAATCCCAGCACTTTGGGAGATGAAGGTGGGTGGATTGCTTGAGCCCACGAGTTTGAGACTAGCCTGGGTGACACAGGGAGACCCCTGTCTCTACAAAAAGTAAAAAAATAAAAATTAGCCAGGCATAGTAGCACATGCCTGTAGTCCCAGCTACTTGGGAGACTGAGGTGGGAGGATCCCTTGAGCCCAGGAGGTCAAGACTGCAGTGAGCCCTGAAAATGCCAATGCACTCCAGCCTGGGCTACTGAGCAAGACCCTATCAAAAAAACAGAAACAAACAAAAAACAAAAAAAACGAAAACAACAACAACAAAAAACAAAAAAACACAAAAAATCCCTAAAACTGAAAATAAGTCAAAGGCAGTACTTTGCAGGCAGTGATTTTCAGCTTGAGGGCAGGGCCGTATAGCAGAATCTTTAGAGGGCTTATGTAGTTTGAAACTCCTTCAGTAGCATCATTTTCTACATTTTGAAAGCGGAAATGATCCCATATCTTTCTGATGTCAACTACAGGAAGTATAGTGTGGCAGTCTGGGCTCTAGAGAGTGAGGTAAAAATAATAAACTGCTTGAAGAACATTGTTCAAAAGCATATCATGTCACTCCCAAGGGGGTTACAATTGGGTTTTTGGTGGGGAGGGCAGCAGTGGGGTTAAAAAAAATCTTCATGTCTAAAGCGCAGATATGCACACAGCACATAAACAGATGCACAAGACATCTCTGGAGTTAAAATTTCCTGGAGGGTGGCGATTAGAAACAAGTGTTTAACAAGGCTCCTTAGGAGGGTGATAATGGCTTAAGAAAGGTTGAGAGAGGCTGGGTGTGACCTGTAATCCTAGCACTTTGGGAGGCTGAGGCCGGCAGATCACTTGAGGTCAGGAGTTTGAGACCAGCCTGGCCAACATAGTAAAACCCTGTCTCTGCTAAAAGTACAAAAATTAGCCGGGTGTGGGGGCACACGCCTGTAATCCCAGTTACTTGGGAGGCTGAGAGGCAGGAGAATTGCTTGAGCCCAGGAAGCGGAGTTTGCAGTGAGCCAAGATCATACCACTGCACTCCAGCCTGGGCGACAGAGCAAGACTCTGTCTCAAAAAAAAAAAAAAAAAAAAAAAAAAAAAGAAAATAAGAAAGGTTGAGAGAGACCGTTCAAAGGCAATGGGACCCAATACTGATACTTTGATACTTCATGGGTGTTTTGCGGAGGAGAGTTGCGAGGATAAAGAAGAAATAAAAATCTAGCTTCTGGGGCACTGCTGTGAGCAGGCTATTGGGGTCAGCTTGAGCCATTGGTAACTTGGACAAACTTGAAGTTAACATTTGAACTCTTATCTGGTAAGGGGTAGCAGAAAGTTCCCTTCCCTTCTCTGTGCTTCGTGCCTCCATATTCCCCACTGTCGTCACTTCACCCCCTGCATCCCCCAGCTGGATGTGAAAAGTGGAACTTGAACTTGAGGGCTGGCTGTTTTGTCAGGATACGGGATGCCAAGAGTTGAGAGGGCCCAAGGTCTTCCTGTGATCTTTTATATGACACGTCACACGCCAGAACCACAGCGTTAGGCTGGTAGACGCGAGGCCACCCGGTCAGTGATGAGTGGGGCCGCCTCTAGGTCCTGTGTTCCTTCTGTAGGGTCATTCATTAAGAAAGCACAGCGAGGTCTGGGAGATAGCATGATGTCAAGTGTCTGTTTGTGAAGTGTTTTTCTCACTCGCTGGTGGATAGCGTGAGATCAGAGTGGAAATTGGAGATGACCCGAGCACTGAGGAGTTAAGGAAGGAGAGCAAGCAACAGGGTGATTCTGGCAGAAAAGTGGAGCAAGGGAGTTGGTTTGGCATTTCTGGATTCTTTTTAGGTCTCCCACACCATCTTTGTAGTTTTGGGCAGGATCACAGAGCTATCTTGGCCCTCACATTTCTTTCTTTCTTTTTTTTTTAAGACGGGGTCTCCCTCTGTGGTCCAGGCTGGAGTGCAGTGGTGTGATCATGGCTCACTGCAACCTTGACCTCCGGGGTTCAAGTGTTCTTCCTGCCTCAGCCTCCCTCTCTCTCTCTCTCTTAAATCTATAGAATTCGTTGAATCACGCTGAGGTTACTTTCAAGTCTATTATGTTATGAGGGTCAGTACTTAACAAAGTAAGGTATGTCTAATAATTTCTTTATTAATAATAACTGAACCTCACAGCCAGATCATTATAATTGCAAATAATTAAACCAGAGACTTTGGGGGATTCCACATAGGATAAAACCACAGCACAGGTGCTCTTCCTTCAGTGCTCAGGGTTCTATTTAGTTTTCTCCTTCACTGGGATATCTGTTTTACTAATACTTGGAATTCTTCAAAACTAACTTCTCCATCTCCATTCTTGTCCAGTTCTTGAAAGAGATCATCTAGAGTGTTTGGACCCTAAAAGAATGGGAGAGGGGAGGGGAGAAAAAATGAATCAGTTACTGCTACACGTTCTCAGAAATTAGAGGCCTTGGGTCTGTGTGCGAAGGCGGCAGCCCAGGTTTCCAGTGACATGCATCTAATAGCTAACAGAGGGAGACCAGCTCTAGCTGTCATGTTGCTCTGTGTCATAGAACTGGCTACCTTCCCCCCCCCCCATATCACACATTTATTATTTTAATACAATGTGTATTTTAATACAGTTGTTTTCTTATGTAATCTTGGGTCTTTTTCTTTATGCCTCTAAAAACATTCTTCTGAGAAGGGATCTTTGGGCTTCACTGGATTGCCCGTGGTGCACAAACAGTTGAGGACCCCTGCCCCAAGGTTTTCCTGGGAGCTGGGTTTGTCTCCTGCTCCAGGGCTAGGGCTGACATATTACATGAGGCAGCAGGCTGGGAGGGCTCCTTCTATAATCCTTTTGGGGTCCACACATTGACTCCAGAACTCAACCACTTAACTAACCACTGCCCAGTTTTTCCCAAACGCTGAGTTATGCAAAATGACTTTGGCTCAATGGTTCCCATGCTTTAGCATGCATCAGAATCACACGATAGGCGTGCTGGCCTTAGCAAATACAGATTGCCAGCCCCACCTCCAGAGTTTCTGACTCACTAGGCCTGGGGTGGGGCCTGAGAATCTGTACACAAGGTCTTGCTCTGTCACCCAGGCTGGAGTGCAGTGGCATGATCACAGCTCACTGCAGCTTCCACCTCCTGGGCTCAAATGATCCTCCTGCCTCAGCCTCCCAAGTAGTTGGGACTAAAGGCATGCACCACCACACCCGGCTAATTTTTGAAAATTTTTAGTAGAGACAAGGTCTTGCTGTGGTGGCCAGGCTGGAGAATCTATAGTTTCAGCAGCTTCCCAGGTGGTGCCAGTGCTGCTGCTCTGGGACCACACTTGGAGAACCACTGCTTGAGATGTCATGTGAGATCGTGTGCAGGCTTTTTGACTACTGAACTTCCTGCAGTGTCTTAAGCGGACTTAATTTTTGTCTCTACCATAAAACTCTAACCTTAAAGCCATTACTACTTGGATTTTCAGGTAGGAGTCTATCTGTGCAAAATACTACTTAGAAAACCGATTGAAATAACCGTTCAGTTTGTCAGTTTCAAATTAGACTATATTACATATATTTATATATAAATTGTGGTAAAAAACACAGAGCATTGAATTTATGCTCTTAATCATTTTTAAGCATACAGCCCGGTAGTGCTAAGTAGATTCACAATGTTGTGCAACACATCTCTATGGAAGATCTGTTTTAACCCCTAAGATTCCTACAAAAACACTCAGCACTTTGCTTTGATTACAAGACCAAACCGTAAGTTACTTATTCAGCCTTTGATTTATGAATATGAAACACTGTTTTCCTGAAGCCTTTACTAGATTCTAAACCATACATGGTGATGATATATGGAAACAGAGTATGGTGGAAAACCTTAGTAATGGAAACCTTATGGAAATATAATCAGGTACATGTAAGTACACTTTCAGAACTTACCATTTGTCTTCCTACCTTGTTCCAGATTATGTCTTATGTACTTTTTGTAGGAAGGACATAAAGTATAGAAAAAGTTACTCATGTTACCTTTTGAGTTAACTTGTTTGAGTACATGGCCTAGGCTTTCCTGTTAGATGATTATTTTTCTTCCTTTTAGAAAAAAATAAAGGGTTTTTAAAAATTTAAAATGTCTCACTAACTTGTTTTGCTTTTTAATTAAAAAGTCTATTTTTCTGCTAGTGATTTTAACTGTTTTTACAAGTTCTTCTGTATTTCAACTATAAGAAGATGAGAAAAAATGGCCGGGCGCGGTGGCTCAAGCCTGTAATCCCAGCACTTTGGGAGGCCGAGACGGGCGGATCACAAGGTCAGGAGATCGAGACCATCCTGGCTAACCCGGTGAAACCCCGTCTCTCCTAAAAAATACAAAAAACTAGCCGGGCGAGGTGGCGGGCGCCTGTAGTCCCAGCTACTCCGGAGGCTGAGGCAGGAGAATGGCGTGAACCCGGGAGGCGGAGCTTACAGTGAGCTGAAATCCGGCCACTGCACTCCAGCCTGGGTGACAGAGCGAGACTCCGTCTCAAAAAAAAAAAAAAAAAAAAAGAAAATGAGAAAATATCAGATTACAGGGTCATTGAATTCAGCTTTTTTTCTTTTTAGTATTAAAAACAGAAGTCTTTCCAATTGTCATATTGGCAGAAGGGACATTTCTGGTTAAAATCTGGAGAGCTGGTTAAAATATTTGAAGAAATGTTCTCTCCTGAAGTTAGAGCTAAATAGTGACTGAGTCATAAAGAACAATTGCATGTCATTTCTGTTGTGAAGATGGTTTTTAGTTGCAAAATGACAATGACTGTCTCGTTTGAGTCCTCTGCTTAACTAGACCCGACCTTGGGCTTCCCCTCTTTGTCCTTGTATCTGACTACCCTTAATATCTGATCACCTGGCCTGCCTTCAACTAGGATCCTATCAAGGCAATTTAACCAAAAACTCCTTATCCTGGATATTTCCCTGGTAATTTTCCATCCATTGGCCCCCCCATCCTGTTCCATGATCGTAAATCCCCACTTGTCCATTTAGGAGTTGAGCCCAATCTCTCTCCCCATGGCAAGAACCTGTTTCAGTATGGATCGCCATGGCCCTCCTGGAGTGAGTTGCCTTACCATCTTTAGCAAATGTCCTCAGTCAGTTTTTTCTTTAGCAAAAGGAAAGTACTGTATATTGGAGAGAGGAGGATCAGCTCTTCTCTCCACTCTGTTGCCTTGAATACATTTTGATTTTGACAACTCTGGGGTGATTTTGATGTGAAACTTTATGGCCCAGGAAATGTAGTCCTTTCTTGAAAGTTGTTTAGAAATGCATGGTTGCCTCATTAACACAAATTTAAGTGATGAACACAAATTTAAATGCTTTTGAAATATAAATGAGTGCTGACAAGGCAATTTGTCAGTGGGTTTTCCTAACAGACTGCTAAGTAAATGTTGGTCTTGTTGAGGGATTTTACATATAAAAATGAAGCCCATCCAAGGCCAGCTAACACTATTTTGCAATCCTCTTTGTTTTCCTAAAGCCTGTCACAGAATTACTGAATCCTTGCTGAAGGCCTTAGTGGGTTTGCTTGATGACTTGTGGGTCTTCCAGGCATAATTTGGCATTGCTTCCATTTACCATGGCTAGTCCTGCAGAGTCCTGTGCTGAGGCTGCGGGAGGGAGAGAAGGCTTGGCCCTTGTTTTCTGAGAGCTTGCCTTCTGAAATGTGGCCTGACTTAAGGGGAAGAAAGCCCACCTGCATGTGTCCTCCCTCAAGCGATGGTCCCTATAAAGCTTTACCAGAGTCCTCTCCCCTCCTTCCCTCCCCACCATCAGTCCCATTAAGCGGGCTCTGCGGATGGCCACTTACTTTGAGTAAACTGGGGAATTCAGCCTGAATTAATAGCTTCAGTTCATCCTTTGACAACTGGTCTGGATCACCTTCTTTGGCTGCATATTTTTCAAAAATCCTCTTCAGTTCCTCAGGAGACTTTTTAGTGCTCATTCTGGTGCCCTATAAATTGGGAAGAAAATAAAACTTACCAAAAAGCTGAAGCAGAGTTTTGTGCTGAGGGTTGTCAGCAGGATTTTAGTGCCATTGGGCCATTTCCTTGGCATAAATGGGGAAGAATAAGGAAAAGAGAACGTTGGGGTGGGAATGACACCAGTAACTGCCAACATGTTTTAAAAATAAGCATTTTAGCCCGGGCATGGTAGCTCATGCCTGTAATCCCAGCACTTTGGGAGGCCGAGGAGGGTGGATCGCTTGAGGTCAGGAGTTCGAGACTGTGGAAGCCTGGCCAACATGGTGAGACCCTGTCTCTATACCAAAATTAGCCGGGTGTAGTGGCACGTGCCTGTAGTCCCAACTACTTGGAAGACTGAGGCAGGAGAATCGCTTGAACCCGGGAGGCAGAGGTTGCAGTGAGTGCGATGCCAGTGCACTCCAGCCTGGGCGACAGAGCGAGCCTCCGTCGCAAAAAAAAAAAACCAACAAAACAAACAAACAAAAAAACCATCTTAGATAGTATGTTGAATGTCTGTTCTTAGAGTATATCTGTTAGGAGATGGGGGGGATGGTCCCTGGAGCCAAAGATTTTTATTAGCAATTAATGACATTCTTCACTTTTTATGTACCTGATCTGCACTCTGCAGGCTGTGGTCTTCAAGAATACTTGACCACAGTTTCTAGCTTCTAAATTACAGGGAATATCTTCAGATGGCATAAACTCACCTTCTCCCCAGACCATTATCTTTCACACAATTCTGAAAGGAAGCAGAGTATTAATGCAAACAGAAGGAGCTCTAGGTAGTACCAAAATCACACTAACCTGGTCGCCCAATAGTGAAACAGCTAGAAGAATCAAAGAGGAGTTTGAAAAGCTGAGCAGAATCGTGAGACTTATATAGTCTTTACAGGCACACCACCCTGATTATGAAAATATCCTTTTGTTGGCCATTTAAGGGTAATTATTAATGGTTTTTGACACCCAGGCTTAAGACTGCATGAACTCCATCCATAATTAAGGGCAAGATCCAATAAAGGTCCATCTCGACAGTTGCTTCATGGTTCAGAGTCCTAAGTGTAAGCTTGAATTTTTTTCCCCCTGAGATTATGTTTTCCCTCCAATGTATAATTATGATATTTGCTCACAGTTCACATTTCATAAACTTAGATATAGAGGATTATTTTCAATTTAGTTGCATATTTAGACTTTAAAAAATAACTTTCTTCATATCCAAAAAAAAAAAATGCTGCCCTGTTCAGTAGCTCATGCCTGTAATCCCAGCACTTTGGGAGGCTGAGGCAGGAGGATGGCTTGAGGTGAGGAGTTTGATACCAGCCTGGTCAACATAGCAAGACCTCATTTCTACTGAAAAATTTAAAAAATCAGCCAGGTGTGGTGGTACATGCCTGTAGTCCCAGCTACTGTAGAGGCTGAGGTGGGAGGATTCCTTGAGCCTGGGAGGTTGAGGCAAGAGCGAGCCATGATTGTGCCACTGCACTCCAGCCTGAGTGACAGAGTGAGATCCTGTCTGTAAAAAAGAAAAAATGCTGTCATAGAAGGACAATTTTTAAAACATTACATAGTTTTAAAAATTACAGTATGGCCGTTGAAGTCCTTCTGATGTCTTTACATATTAGCAGTTTAAATATTTGAATACATGAATGAATGAATGGAAGTATTGCTTCAGAAGCGGGTTTAAGAAGTGGAAAGAAGATACTCAGTACTTTGTGGTTTTATTTGGCAAATCAAAATATTGGGTAACATGGTCATTTTTTCAGCTCTTTTATTATTTGTTGGTCCCATGTCTCCTTTTTATTTCTCATTATCCTTTTCCTTACCAAATATATTTTGTTACCATTCGAAAAACTTGTGAGAACACTTGACTTACTCTTGTTCAATTGGAAATACTTCAAACTTTTTGGAACTGCCGTGATTTAAAATTGCCAAGGAAATTGATTTCTACTGGAAAGAGTTCCATGAAATAAGTAGGACATTTCCAAGGGACATTGATCTAATGCTGATTGTAACTCACAGGAAGGGGTTCCAGGTGGATTTTAAGAGCACTTTACAGCTTTGAAACACTTGTACACTTCCACACTTAAATAATTTTCTCTGACTCTGCCTTATATCACCTACAAACTGAGGACTGAACTATTGGGACTGTATTTCTCCCTGATGTTTCTCAGCTCTAAAATTCTAGGGCCTTATTTACATTGGAGAACAAATGGGAAATCTAATAGAATTCCTTAAAAGCTTCCCGCCAATCTTGAGCATTTATCATTCCATGTGTCTTTGCTGTCTTGTATATATTATTCTTGTTTTTATTATGGATTCTTTGACTTTGCTATGTACCAATATAGAATATGTGTTAACTCACTGGTTGGAGTAAAGACAGGCATTTTATTTTTAGTTATAAGATTTTACACAAAAATATTCTGATTTTGGCAATGCATTTTAATCAAGATTTTAGAAAATTGCCAGTGTTTTTACACATATGTTCTGTTTTCCTGGGAGGAAGTAGGCTTTTGTGCTTAATCATAACAAGAACTATCTTTTTTTTTAACATCTTTTAAAAAATATTTCAAATCTACAGAAAAGTGGCAAGAATAGTGCAATGAACGCCAGTCTGCCATTCAACTAGATTCACTAATTGCTAACATCTCCACATTTGCTTTCTCTTTCTCTGGACAGACACTTTCTTCCGCCCCTGAGTCATTTGAGAATGAATTACAGACATCCAGATGCTTCCCCCCTAAACACCTAAGCATCTGTCTCCTAAGGACAAAGACATTCTCCTATGTAACCACAATGCCATTATCATAGCCCATGTCAAATCTCCCCAGTTGTCGAATAGCATCTTAAATTATCTTTTCTCTCAGATTACCACTTGTGAGCTAAAATCAAATGGGGCGATTATTACATTTCTTGCATCTGGTTTTTTTGTTTGTTTTTTTGAGGCCGCTTCACTGTGTCACTCAGGTTAGAGTGCAGTGGCACAAACACAGCTCACTGCAGCCTCAACCTCCCCGGGCTCAGGTGATCCTCCTACGTCAGCCTTCCAAGTAGCTGGGACTACAGGCATGCACCACCATGCCCAGATAATTTTTTTTTTTTAAATTTCTTGTAGAGAAATACAACATGGGTTTTGCCGTGTTGCCCAGGATGGTCTCCAACTCCTGGGCTCAAATGATCTGCCCGCCTCAGTCTCCCAAAGTGCTGGGATTATAGGCGTGAGCCACTGCATCTGTATTGAAGAAATGATTTTAATAACTATATGTCATCTTAGTAATGATACATTTGATGAAAGATAACATGTTCTATATAACACACCCATATATTACATATGACATGTGTGTATGTATATATATAAATTATCTCAAAGAAAAACTTTTGGAGCAGTATTGGTTAATAGTCTTTTAGACTACAAATCTCTTATTTCAAGGGACAACTTCTGATTAGAATTGGCCCAATGTGGCTGGGCACGGTGGCTCACGCCTGTAATCCCAGCACTTTGGGATGCCGAGGTGGGCGGATCACCTGAGGTCAGGAGTTTGAGACCAGCCTGACCAACATGGAGAAACCTCATATCTACTAAAAATACAAAAATTAGCCAGGCATGGTGGTGCATGCTTGTAATCCCAGCTACTCAGGAGGCTGAGGCAGGAGAATTGCTTGAACCCTGGAGGTGGAGGTTGCGTTGAGCCGAGATCGTGCCATTACATTCCAGCATGGGCAACAAGAGTGAAACTTTGTCTTTAAAAAAAAAAAAAAAAAAAAAAAAAAAAAGGGCCCAATGCTGCCTATTGTCAGAATTTCTACTTGCAGCCAATGCTAGCAAAACTCGAACCTGAAAAACAGCCTGTGGGGCTTCTTAAGTTTTTACTTGTTCACTTCTACCAGTCACATCTCTTGTCTCTTATTTTTCTCTTTACCCATAGACTTAAAAGCATGAGGGTAAACTTGCACTTGGAAACATGAAAAATCCACTAATAGATACTCTTGTGAAACATTAACTAAAAATATATGGAGACAAGTGATAAATACAGGGTGTGTTCACAAGAGTGCGTTTTGAAACTAGAGAAGGGGGGAAAATGTCAGGCACAAGGGTGGTACTGGAAAAATGGAGAGGCAAAGGTTATTTATCACCTCACTGTTCAATTGTTTGATCTTTGGACAGACTTAATTTTTCCTAGGAAAGCCAAGAGTAACATATCTTAAGAGCTCTGGGCACCACAGGCTTCTGTGGGTTATTCTGCTTGAAGTTGACAGCACGGAGTATCTTGAAAAGCACCTTCAGGAAGAGGGTACAGTGTTAGTACCTGGTCCCTGCAAAACAAAATGGGTGTGAAATGCTATCCATGGGTTCTTACTATCTTTGATCCTGAAGTTTAAAAGAGACCTTGAATACTCAAACGCAACTTTCCCAGAAAGTATAGCTTGCTTGTCACCTGACCTGGTGTCTACCTTCCCTGGACCTTCAGACAAAGTTCACTTCCAACCTTTGCCTGGGCTGTGAGGCTCACTTCTTTTGGGTCAGCCTGTGCTCACCTTCAGCAGTTGAGTTCCCAGAGGCCTCCTGACCATAGCCTATGCTTCTTGAGGGCATATTTTTACCATGGGCAGTGTGCTGACCTAGGCATCCAACTCTCATGGCCTCATTAAATCCTTGCTGCAACTTTATGAAGTGGATGCTGTTGGTCCCCCCAGTCTGTAGAGACATCCAAGGATCTGCTCAAGGTCACATTACTGGTCAGTAGTAGAGCTGGGATTCAAGTTCAGGCCCAGCCTGCACCCTCAACCACCATGCCACATTCCCCTCCCAGGAGAAGGGCTTCTCTGAGGACAACCATTGTATGTTAACATTAGGACCACAAGTAGTATCACACTTAAGTATTATGTTTACATCTGGAGGTATAAGAAGGTTCTTTTCTGAGGTGTAAGAAAGTTCTTTTCCTGATGAAAATGATATAGGCTCTTGTCTGTTTTGAGCTGCTATAACAGAGTACCTGAGACTGG